CCGGCCGTCGTCGTGCTGCTGCTGCTGCTGCTGCTTCTGCTCGTCGACGACCTGCAGCCACATCTTCTTGTTGCGCATGACCTTTTCCCGCGTCGACAGCCCCGCCTTGACGTCGAGCGCGCGCGACGCCTCAATGTTGTGCGCCCGGCCCTCGACGGCCACGACGTGCCGGTTGTACGGCGGCAGCGCCAGCGTGCGTCCGAGGTAGTTCTGCCCGCTGCCAAAGTCGACGAGGTGCGTGATGGCCCCGCTGCCGTCGCTGTTGTCCTCGTCGCCGCCGTTTCCCTCGTCGCCGCCGGTTTCCTCGTCGCCGCCGGTTTCCTCGTCGCCGCCGCCGCTCTGCGCCGCGATCGACGCCGCCAGATCGTCGACGTAGTCGGCAAAGTTGATCACCTCGTGGACCTTCTTGGGGTTCATGCCAATGGCCACCTTGCGCGTCAGCCCGCCCGGCACGAGCGCTTTCCCCTTCCCCTTCCCCTGGATCGGCGGCGGCGCGCGGCGCGGCGCGAAGCCCCGACGCAGCGAGAGGCGGCGCACGTCGCGAATGTACCGCTCCAGCGCCGGCGGCGGCCTCTCGGCCTCGGGCAGGGCGTCGAGGTCGCGGCGCAGCAGCAGATCGACAAAGTCCATGGGCTCCTGGGCGAGGATGTACGGCTGCCAGTCGGCCGGCAGGCTCATCTCGTAGAGGCTGCGGTCGTTGGTGAAGAAGTCGAGCAGGTGGACGCCGCCGGCGAACATTTGGAACGTGTCGCACGTGTTGGCAAAGGTGAGGAGCGAGGAGACATAGTTCTCGGGCGATGTAAAGTCGTCCGAGTAGGGCAGCGGCCTTTCTGGTCTCATCGTGACTTTTGTCTTCTGACTCTGGCTTTGGGGGGGTTCTGCCTTTGTGGTGTATATGGGCTTTGTGAGATGTGTCGTACTAGGCAGAGATCCGTACCGAAAGAAAATGAGTGACTTGTGAACAACTGAAGGAGAGACGTGTGCCTAGATTTGCGAATGAATGGGAGCGACTGAATATGACGGGCTTCATGTAAAACTGACATGTGCACCGCGGGGTCCTTTGAAATGGGAAATTGTCGGTGAACCCCACCTTCACCTTGCATTCCCTCCATCCCTCGGTCAAGCTCGGTCAGCTCCGGTCACCACAATCACCCGATGAACTTCCGGGTGCCTGGCCTCTCCTGAACGCGCAACGTCATGCCGCGTTCCCCATTGTCATCGCACTCTAGCACGAATCTTCAAAAGACACACCCTGCACACCAATGCCGCGGAATTTCCCCACCTCATCACAACCTCCAGGATAATGGCCTCCCAAAACGACGAGGACCCCTTCCTCCAGGTCCAGCAGTATGTCCCCCCCCCTGACCTGAGCTGACCAGGGGTAGCAGCTCCTTTCGATAGGCACCGTCCAAAGCTAACGACTCCAACCACAGGGACGTCCTCGCACAGCTCGACCACACGCGCCCTCTCTTCAAGTCCTACCTTCGCATCCGCTCCCTCTCGACAACCGCCTCCTCCCCCGAGCTCGCCGCCGCCCGCACAGACCTCGAGTCGGCCCTCGCCTCGCTCGCCGAAGACCTCGCCGACCTCGTCGACTCGGTCTCCGCCATCGAAGATGACCCCTCCCAATTCGGCCTCGCCGCGACCGAGGTGACCCGTCGCAAGCGCCTCGTGCAAGACGTCGGCGCCGAGGTGGCCTCGATGCGCAGCGAGCTCGCCAAGACCCTCGCATCGAGCGCCTCCCCTGGCGGCGGCGGCGGCGACCTCCCGGATCCCAACGCCTTCAACCTCGGCGACGACGACGACGCCTACGCCGAGTTTGAGCAGCAGCAGCAGCAGGAGATGATGCGCGAGCAGGACACGCACCTCGACGGCGTCTTCCAGACGGTCGGCAACCTGCGCCGCCAGGCCGACGACATGGGCCGCGAGCTCGAGGAGCAGCGCGAGATGCTCGACGTCGTCGACACGGTCGCCGACCGCGTCGGCGGCCGCCTGCAGACGGGCGTCGCCAAGCTGCAGTATGTCGTGCGCAGGAACGAGGACCGCCTGAGCAGCTGCTGCATTGGCGTGCTCATCCTCGTGCTGTGCATCCTGCTCGTGCTGCTGCTGATCTTGTAAGCTGGCGGGCGGGCTGGCCGAGGAGAGATGGGAACCTTGTGGGTGAGGAGCTGGAGGGAAATTGCGGATATCCTGGTGCATTGGTCATGAGACAGCGATTTTTTTGGCTATGGCATGCGTGCTTGGGGCTGCCATTTTGTTACTATACGGGATGGAGTTTTGTGTTTCATTTTCATCGTGTTGGCGCCAGAAGCGTCAAGCCATTCGGTACCATTTTGTTTTTTACACCAATTGACCCCTTTCGAAACTGACACTCGGAACCCACGTCTTGGAACATCACTTGCGCAACCGACTGATCTTTTGTTCATTCCGATGCTCCATCTTTGCAGACGCCGTCTACCCAACTCTCAAGCATCGAGGCGACGCACCCAACAGCCTAGGGTCCGCCTCTCAAGGCCATGCCCCGAAACCCATACATGAATGCCATGCATCCCAAACGCCAGTCATACACCGGCCGAGGCCGAAAAGAAATTTGTCGGAAGCCGATGAAATCTGACCATCTTGCTGCTACCGGCGATTTATCCCATGCAGTCGTATCTGCGCGGCACGTCTATTCACGCCAGCCAGCCTACTTGAGAGCCCGACCCCGAGCTTCACTGATTCACTCAGGCCAGAGCGAGACCCGAATCCCGCTGCAGGACCTGTCCCAAGACTTGCAGCGCCTGCGCCGTGTGGCTCGTGGCGGGTGCCTTCTTGGGAAACTCGACCAGAGCCGTACGCAGGGCCTCGATGGCCGCGTTGCCGTAAAATTGCAGAAAACGCGTCTCGTGCCCGTCAATCATGGCCTTGAGCACCGTGTATTGCGTGTTCGAGATGAGGGCCGGAGGCGAGTTGACGATCTTGGCCATGGCCGTCCAGTAGTGACTCGGCGGGTACGGGTTCTTCTTGGACGCCTTGCTAAAGTCGCGCAGCGATATGGACGCAAAGCCGGCGCCCAGTCCTGTCATACGGTCCGAGTGTGCCTGTTCTGAGATCCAGCGGCCGTCCTCCCTCCTCCAGCCGACCGCCAGGCGACCCGCCTCGGTTCGATCGTTGCCGCGAGCGCCGAAAAGAACGGGGCAAGCGACCCGGAACTTGGCGATCAGAATGTCGATCATGGACTTGCCGCGCCAGTGAAAGTCGGGATTCGAGAACAGATGCGCTGCCACGATGCCAATGGGCTCCGCCGATTTCGGGTTGGCGCCGACCTCGCTCGCAAACTGGTGAATCATGGCCTTTGACAAGTGGCTCAGGAGGTAGATGAATACGGCTGGCAGCTGCGGGCCATTGTGCACTGCACCCTCAACGGGGTCTCGTGAATCGGCCACGAAAATCGATCCGTCGACCAGATAACTCGGCACCGAGCCGTCGAGCGACTCTTTCAAGGTTGCGACGATTGTGTTGATCTGCAGCTCGCAGGTTAGCTTTAAAACGCGAGAAGACTGGTGCTTGTGGCCTGCTGTACTCACCGGCTTCGCGTTGGCGCCCTTGCCGGCTGTGAGCTGACCCATTGCCTTGCGTGCTTGACGACGCATGTCTCCGAGTTTACCCTTCAGGGGCGAGCCAGCAACTTTGGACTGTTTGTCAAGCTCTTTGCGGAGCTTCTTCAGCTCCTGATGAATTTGTGCGTATCGGTCCGAGGTGGAAAGACCTGCCACAGCAGGTGCAGCTGCGTTGGCGACGGCCGCCGGCGCCGCCGCAGCAGCTTGGGCGCCATTGAGTTGCGGCGTCGCTCCAGGAGCGGGAGTCGTTTGTGCTGGCTTCTGCACAGGCGCAAAGGGTGAAGGCGTCTTGAGCAAGCCCGTCTGAGGTGTCGTCGTCGGTGCTGGCTGTGTCGTGGCTGCCGGCGACTCTTCCTTCTTCACGACGGCATCGGCACCGTTGACCGCCGGTGCAGCTGGCGGCTTGACCGCTGGCGGTGGTTGCGGTTTCGGCTGAGGCGGAAGCTCTGGAACCTTTTGGGCTTGCAAGTCGCGCAGCTTTTGTTGCTCTGCCCGTACCCTCTCCTCCTCCTTCAGCCTCTCCTGCTCTCTCAGCTGCAGCGCCCTGAGCCGCTGTGCTTCCTCGGCGATCCGACGTCGGTCGTCCTCTGCGCGGCGCTGCTCTTCCTGCAGTTGGTGGAGCTTGCCGATTCGAAGGGCATTCAGCCTCACCCGCTCATGCTCGAGTCTGGCATTCTCGAGGGCCTCACGATGGCTCAGTTCGGAATTGCGGTCCTCGTTCAGGTAATCGGAAAAGGAGTGTCGTTCGGGACTCGACCGGATGGGGCTGCCATAGTTCCTCTTTGCCGTAGCAGCAGCAGCGGCAGCAGGGGAGCGCGAGCCGCGAGCCGCCATGGTCCAGGACTAGAAAGCGTCCTACAACATCTGGGGGGGGGGTGTGGATCGCGGCAGGAAGGCGCGTACGCGATTGAGCAAAGTGTGCAAGGCGCGCCGCCGGGGTCGTATCTTCAAAAGGGTGAAGGAGCGGAGGGGGGGTAAAAGAAGGCTAAAGGGCAAAGGGGGTGATTGACACAGGCCAAGGTCTGACGATGGTGTTGTGAAGCAAACCGAGGGTCCGTGGTCTTGGGCGGTCGAGGCTTGTAGTCGAACCTTTGGCGATGGGGGAGAGATCTGAGAGGGGTGCAAGGGGGTCAGAAAGCCGTGTCAAGGCGCGCTCTGATGCAACCATTCGCGGCACTAGACACGGAGGTGCAAAAGTGCAGAGCGGGTCCAGAGGAAGGGGGGGTGACGAAGGGGGTGAAATGGGGGGTGAGCTGTCGGCTGGCAGTGGTGGGGTTTCCTTGTCTCGGGCAGTCAATGTGGCAACAGCTTTTTGGAGGTTAACAGAGCATTGTGCCGCCGTTGACTCAGTCGAACATGGAAAGTCTCGTTTGTGCGCCTTATAGTGAGTACATTATGCTTGCCGATTCGATTGCCCTCCCCTTCCCCCCTCTCATGTTACTGTCTGC